CCCAAGAGTTTTGTTTAAAACTGCAGTTGACCTCTAGATTGTCTTAGATCACATACTTCTCAATTTAAAAAAATGATCATTTACTCCAATACATATATACTTCTATGTATACATCCAAAAGTTTACATTGTTACAGTGCACAAAATATTTTAAACCACAGAAATGTACAAAATAAAAGGGAGGGGGCTGGCAGGTGGCATGGTGGTTAAAGATGCTGGACTCCCACATGGCCAACTGCAGTTTGAGTCTTACACTTGGCAGCTTGTTTTCTTATTTTTCTCTCTCTGTTCAATTAAAACAAATAGTAATAATGATAAAGTTAAATAAAGTAATGTAAAAACAGTTGAAATTAAAAAGTAAATACAAATACGGGTTCAAATATATTTTTAATGGCAAACTTATTTCTTAAATCCTCAGACTGCAATGTAAAACTGTTTCTTTTTTGTTGTAGAACTATTTCTTTAAACTTTCAATTCTCTTCTTGCCTATCAAGAATTATCTTGCATTTATCTCACTTTGAAGTCCCTCAAAATTATTTCCCAACAGCTATGTACAAAGATGATTCAGGAGTTCATGTTGCTAAAGGTAGTAATGGTGTCTGTTCCATTTTCTAGTTTTAAGTTCTCAGCAAACAAAATAATTTTTAAAGTTTTTTCTTTTTAAAACGGAACACTTTGAAGGAACCAGCAGTTAGCGTAATGGCTATGTCGCTGGACTCCCACGTAGTCGACCGTGGTTCATGTCCCGGATCCGGTGGCTTAAAACACGCCGGGCGCGTGTGCGCGCGTGCCCAAGATCCCGAGAGGAGAATGGAGGAGAAGGGATTGCGGCGTGACCATCCCCCCTGGGGGGTGATTTCTCGCTTTCTTTCTCTCTGTCTGGCGAGTGCACGCGCCCTATAGCGGGGAAAAAAAAAAAACTCTCAAAAAACAAACAAACAAACAAACAAAAACAAACGGAACACTTTGAGTGCTTCCATACTTAGCTTTGTTAATGCAGATCAGCCAAACATGCCCCTAACTCAGTCACTCAGTTGATTTAATCATTTGTTTAGCCACAGTAGCGGTCTTGATACAGTTTTAAATGGTTTTTAGTTTCGGTCTTATGAAATTTAATTTACATCCCAAATTGACTACTGATTTAAAACAGGAGGCAAAACATAAAATATGATTAAAAATGCTAGCTAATCAAACGTATTAAAACTAATATTTTTACCTCAGTAGTAGCTTCACATATCCCTACATTTGACTTATCACATCATATGGAATAATTAAAAGAAGAAATACAGTAGTGATTACACTGTTTGACTCTTCATTCATTTGGCATAAAGAACCTAAATCTACAATGTTTCATTTACAAACAACTAGAAACCTCATCTCATCATTTAGAAGTAAGGGGGACCAGCAGATGGAGTAATGGCTACATTACTGGACCCCCATGTAGTCGACTGCAGTTTGAGTCCTGGACCAGGTGACTTAAAACTCACGCCGGGCGTGTGTGCATGAGTGCCCAAGATCCTCAGAGGAGAATGGAGGAGAAGGGATTGTGGGTTAGCTATCCCCCTGGGGGGTGATTTCTCCCTTTCTGTCTCTCTGTCTCTGTCATTCTGGCGAGTGCATGCACCCTCTAGCAAAAACCTCTCCCCGCCCCAAAGAAAAAAAACAATTCCTCTCATGGACCATCTGCAAAATTCCTTGTTCAAAATATTCATACCCTCGCTGAACTAAAGCTGACTGGAAACGGAAAGGTTCTTGGCTCCTTTTGTCTTTTGATCCTGCTTTTGATGAATTGCCACACCATGTCTTATTAAAAGAACTCCTAATTCAGATCCTTAGTACACCACAGTATTATCCTAAAAGTCAACTATTTGTGGATCACGTGTTTACTTTCACCATTTTGGATGACAGGATATAGTTTTGGAATTTTCGGATCATAGAAGTTGCTGCTCTTGTGAAAATAGGAACTTGTTTTGTTCTAAACCTCATAAAGATTTTCCAGAGAAGTTTTGGAGGACCAACATTATATGAAAATCCTCACTACCAGTCACCAAACATGCATCGGCATATTGTAAGATTCATCAAAGCTGCAAAATACAAAGAGAAGCAGCAAGTGAAGGATGTCCAGAAGCTAAGAGCCAAAGATCAGTCTTCCACATGATCCCACTGAAGATGTTTTTGCTATACCAGCTGAGGAGAAACCAGTAGAAATATGGTGGGTAAACCAGAGCCAAAAGTTGATTAGAAAGCAAGAAAGAAAAGGATTTACAAAAGGCACAGAAAAACACAACAGAGGATGGATAGTAGGAATGTGAAACGAATCAATGAATATTTATTCTGTATTCAGTGTGTAAATACTTCTATCATTGTTGACTGTCTTATGTCATTAGTGTGGCATTTAAGAAAAGAAAAATGGAAATATTAGAATCAGTGATGTTTATCTTTTTCTGAGTAAGGTATCACAAGAACTCAAGAAAAAAAGGAGAAAGAAAAAGAAAGAGAAAGAAGAAAAAAAGGAAAGAAAGAAAAAGAGGACTACATAATGCAATTTTTATTAATACACAGTTGCAGGCCACAAGGTGACCTGGAGGTTAAGGCGCTGGATCCCACATGGTGAACAGCACAGTTGAATTCCAGACTCAGCAGCTTGAAAAACTACACCAGGAACACGTGCATGTGTGCCTAAAAATCCCGAGAGGAGAATGGAGAAGGGATCGCTTCTGTGGCCGTCTCCTCTGGGCAGTGCTCTTTCTTTCTCTCTCTTTCATGCACCCTATAGCAAAAGCACAAACAAAACAAAACAAAAATACACAATTGTGCTCCTCCTGATGGTCATACTTCACATGTTAACTGCGGTATTATCAGTATTTTTCTGTTAAGACAGTAGCCAGTTTTTAAGTTTTTTTTTTGCCACAAGTGCTTGTGCTCACTGGAGAAAGAGAAGACAGTGTGTAAATACTTCTATCATTGTTGACTGTCTTATGTCATTAGTGTGGCATTTAAGAAAAGAAAAATGGAAATATTAGAATCAGTGATGTTTATCTTTTTCTGAGTAAGGTATCACAAGAACTCAAGAAAAAAAGGAGAAAGAAAAAGAAAGAGAAAGAAGAAAAAAAGGAAAGAAAGAAAAAGAGGACTACATAATGCAATTTTTATTAATACACAGTTGCAGGCCACAAGGTGACCTGGAGGTTAAGGCGCTGGATCCCACATGGTGAACAGCACAGTTGAATTCCAGACTCAGCAGCTTGAAAAACTACACCAGGAACACGTGCATGTGTGCCTAAAAATCCCGAGAGGAGAATGGAGAAGGGATCGCTTCTGTGGCCGTCTCCTCTGGGCAGTGCTCTTTCTTTCTCTCTCTTTCATGCACCCTATAGCAAAAGCACAAACAAAACAAAACAAAAATACACAATTGTGCTCCTCCTGATGGTCATACTTCACATGTTAACTGCGGTATTATCAGTATTTTTCTGTTAAGACAGTAGCCAGTTTTTAAGGTTTTTTTTGCCACAAGTGCTTGTGCTCACTGGAGAAAGAGAAGACAGTGAGAGGGAAAGTGAGAAATCCCCCCAACCACCACCAGGGAGGATGGCACATTGCAATCCCTTCTTTTCCATTGTTCTCTCAAAATTTTGGGCATGCAGACATGCACATGCTCCCAGACTTGATTTTCAAGTCACCAGGTTGAAACTTCAACCATGAACTGCCTGGGCGTCCAGCCCCTAACCTATACCACCTACTGGCCCCTAGCTAGTTTTGCTTCTTGTCATATCTACACTTGATATCATAAAACACATAATTGCTAAATTCAGAGTACTGTTTTGTTGTACTACCAAAATCTTTTCAATTTTAGTATCCACTTAAAAAACATCCTTCAGGGCAGCAGGTATCTTGTTAGGTAAAAATGTTTGTTGGAAACATGAACGTTTATCTTTTATTAACATACATTCAATCGTTCCATTTCCCCCTAAGTGTCCTTTGCCTTCAACGGCAAGATAAATGAAAACAAACAAACAAACAAAAAGCCTCAGCATACATTGCAGTTAGCTAAGATGAGTGCATTCTGGTGTCCTACCTTACAGTAAGGTGACGACCATTAACAATAGTTCTTGTATGTTTCAGAGTAACTACAAGAGATAAATATGAATGTTAACAGAAAGTGATGACTGTTTGAGGTGCTGGATATACGGATTACCCTATTTGCTCACCACACACTGTATTCAAGTGTAGTATCAAAAAACCACATTACACCTTATGTGCCCGTTATAATTTTTTTAATGCCAGGGAGGGTTAATATTATGGAAGAACAATCGTAAGTAGTAACCATGTAAGGCTACAGGACTTGAGGGTCTGGACCTACAAATCCCAGAGTTCCTTGCAGGCGGAGCCACCTTGAAATTGGTCATTTTTCATACAATAACATAGCGAAAAAACGCTATACCACACTCAGCCCTGAGGGCGTAAGGGCTAATTCCTTCGTCTTCAAACACTGGGGCTTTCTGAGCGTAGGGGTTGGTCACGGCACGATTCTAAGTACTGAAGTATTTTTCACTCGCAGTCGAAGTCCTCTAGTCCCAACAGTCTGTTCCCGAAGACCGCTGGGTGGACGCTGTAGTGTTAAACGCCGAGAAGAGCCACGTTGCGCAGTGTCAACGGAAGTTGCCAATCGGCCCGGGAAGGGTGGAACCCACCTCACTCTTGCTCTTGTATTGGTCTGCAGCCAGATGGCGCAAATCTTCATCACAACCAAAAGGGTCGCCGAAACCTCCGTGAACATAAGCAGGGGGCGGTGCTGGTGGCGCTATACGGAAACTGAGTCTACGCAGGCGCAGACATCTAGCTCTCGTCCAATCGGAAGCTAGCGAGAGACCCTGTCTCGCGGATTCCTCGAGCCTCCGCGCCCCGCCTCTTTCGCTTCCTCCGGAGTAAGGCCCGCCTCTGTGCTTCTGACCAGTCGTGTTCAGTTGTCTTTGCGGATTTACCCAATCAGAGGGGCAGAGGGCGGAGTTCCGGTCGTCCATTCCAAGCTGCGGCTGATTGTGAGTCGTGTGTGGTGCCAATTGGGGCTGGTTGCTGAGGTACATTTCGTAGGGCTGTCTGTGTTGGGCGAAGTCTCCGGGACGGGCAGCTTGGAGGGCCGAGATCAGGGTCCAGAAAGCTGGAGTAGCAGAACTTTTATGGGGGGAGAGCGCCAGGAAACGGGAGGTGCCGGGAAGTGGGAGCACGTGTTGGGGATTCTGGTGCGAGGGTCGGAATCCCTGGGTCAAACCAGGGCTTCGGGCCAAGTTGGTATTGCTGACGCCTCCCTTTTGGCACTTCTCTTTTTTTTTTTTTTTTTTTTTTTAGTAAAAGCTATTATAGGTGCTCACCGCCAATCTTGAAGTAAGGGTGGACTGGACCGATTTTTCCGTTGCCGTTTCGTCCTCACGCATTCTTTCCCACCCAATGAGCAGGCAAGATAAACAACATCCCCCACAAGGTCTCATGGCTGCGATTCATCCTCAGCCTGTCTCAGCCAGCCTGAGATCATGGACACCCATACTCCTGGCATACTCAGGGAGGTCTCCAGAAGCAAGCTGGGAATCTTTCCTCTATAGGTCAGCTTCACAGAATGTGTCCTGTTACTACTGGCTACCAATAAGCTCCATCTGAATTTTTTTTTTTAAGAATTATTTATTTATTTAATTCAATTTTTTTTTTTTTTAAATTTTTTAATTTGACCAGACAGAGACACACAGAGAGAGAAAGTGAGAAAGGGAAAGCGAGAAAGCAAGCCGCCAGGTTCGGGACTTGAACCACAGTTAGCCATGTGGGAATCTAGCACCTTTAACCACCATGCTACCTGCTGGCCCAGCTCCATCTGAATTCTAATCTGCCTTAAAGATTCATATGACTTTGGCATTCAGTTTCATAATATGCTCATGGATGATGCTCTTTTGAATTATTTACCACATAAAAGCATTGCTGGACAAAGGAGAGAGATTGCTATTTATTTCTGTGGTTTATAATTCCCAATTTACTATAGTCATACATTTGTATCTCTAGGTTTAAGAAATATGTCCTCATGTAATGGGAACTCATTCTAAAGAAACCATTTAAACAACCAAATACACTGGGTCCCTTTGCTCCTAACCTAGAACATACAGTAGGTATCACGGACAACTGGACTGATGGACCTCGTCATTAAGGTTGTAAGAACTGTTCACTGACCCCCTCCAGTCCCCCCAGCAAGACAGTAGCTCTGATTACTTCAGTATTTAGTCTTGTCTTCAGAAGACAGCCATGTATTGTCTCATCTCTGGCTAGAATTATCAGGAGAGAGGATCTGATTGACTTGGGTTTGTGACCACCCAGTACAGATATGTTGAAATAAAATAATGTATGAAAAAGAACCCAGCTCCAATTAGACATTCAGTATATCATAACAATTAAGTGAAGGTCTCTGGTTTTTGCATGGGGTTTAAAGGGGAAAAGAAATGTGGGAACTTTTTGGACCTGCCCTGGAAGTGACCTGCATTACTTTTACTCATATTCCATTGGCTAGAAGTCTGTCACAAAGTCACACCTCGCTAGTCTAGTCATGTGTGTGTACCTACCTAGTGACCTGCTGATGTGCTAGCAGTCTCTGCTATAATGGGAATACATCTAGCCAACTGCTTCCAATTTGCCCTCAGCCCTTAGTTTCCAACCATTAGTTTCTTCATTTTGTAAACTTTACATTGTCTTCCAGATGTTTCTAGACAACTCTCTTCGACAAAGTCCTTTTAAAACTAACTTGGAACCTGTGCTGTTAACCCAATCCGCAGGACAAAGCCTCACAGCTTTTGCCCTAATAAAGTCTAAGTATACAGGCCAGTAGCAGTGCAGTGTGGGCTATTTCTCCTTGTGCTATTTGAACAGGTAGCTAGCCACAGTTCCCTAGACTTTCCCAGCATGGACTTGGTATCAGTAGTTCATAGGGAACCAGGTCGAGCTACTCTTATGCATGATAAAGAGGGGACAAGGGAAAAAAATCCCACAGTATCACCATGAACAACTTTTTCCAGAGAAATTCTTTTATTCACCTTTACTTGGGTGTTTTTTTTCCCTGTCAAGGCAATTGCAAAACTAGTTTTGGGCCATCTTTACAAGCCCAGTGTGAGTGATCTATTACCTAATTTTGAGATGTTGAAGATATAATATAGGGGCCAGCAGTTAGCTTAATGGCTATGTCGCTGGACTCCCATGTAGTCGACAGCAGTTGGCGTCCCGGACCCGGTGGCTTAAAACTCACACCGGGCACATGTGCATGCGTGCCCAAGGTCTCAGGAGGAGAATGGAGGAGAAGGGATTGCAGTGTGGCCATCCCCCCTGGAGAGTGATTTCTCACTTTCTATCTCTCTTTCTGTCTGTCTGGCGAGCGCACGTGCCCTATAGCAAAAACCTCTCCCTCCAAAAAGAAAAAAAGATATAATATATAACTTATAGGCCATATTTTTATTTTTGTACATGATGTTTTGATGACCTAATTATATAACTTAAAAAAATTCTCAATATTGTAAGCCTAACCTATTTTACTTACTTGTTACATGCTCACATTTGGTTCACCAGGCCCAGTCTCTTTCTTTTTTTTCTTTTTTCTCTAAATTTTGCCAGAGGATGGATGTGCTTACTAAAAAGAGAAGGAGAGAGGGAAAGGAAAAGTGAGAAAGCCCTCATCCATGGAGGATGGTCATGCCATAATACCTTCATTTCATAGTCCTTTTGGGATTTGGGGCACACCCAACAGCATGTTTCTCATGTCATTGAGATTAGGACTTGAACTGCAGTGTCAGCCATGTGGAGGGAGGTAGGGGGACAGTACCCCCTAATGGATCATGGTCATGTCACAATTCCTTCTCCATCCTTTCAGGGACGAGGGCACATACATACGTGTAGAGTGTTTTCAGTGTCTCCAGGGTGGGATTTGAACCACAGTTGATCATGTGGGCTCCTGCTTCCTTAACCATTTAGTCCACAGGGCCAACTTGTGGTTTTCTTTTATCTCTTGAGAAATAGTACTTTTGGGGACCAACAGGTGGTATAGTGATTAAGGTCCTAGACTCCCACATGGCCAACTGCTGTTCAGGTCCCAGACCTGGTGCCTTTAAAATCACACTGGGCATGTGTGTGTGCGTGCATGCCCAAAATCTAGAAAGGAAAATGGAGGAAAAGGGATTGCAGCATGGTCATTTCCCATGGAGGGTATTTTCTCACTTTCCCTGTCTGTCTCTAGTGGCTGCATGCACCCTCTAGCCAAAATAAAAAAGAAAACTTAAGAAAAATAATACTGTTGTAGGTCCACATAATTTTACATTTAAGCATTTAAAATTGGATTCACTTAGCTTTAAATGCAGATTTTCTTGGGTTCCAACTTCAATGTTGGCAGAGCTAACTGGTTTATCATTCTAGCTAGATAAATTGGATATCATATGATAATTAGTAAAACTCTGTTAGCATTCTAAAGATCATAAAACTGCATTATGTGTTTTGTATTATTTTCCAGATTTTCTTGGCTAAGTATTAGTCATTACGAAACAACTTGAAAAGTGGAAATCATTAAATTGTTGGCAGCAATGTGTGATAGAAAGAACACTTGGAGTCAGAAGATCTATCTAGGCCAGACAAAATATTTAATTTTTCTGAGCTTTAGTGTACTCATTGGTTAAAACAAGAATGATAGTACTTGTCCTACTTAACTCACAGAGTTGTGAGAATCAGACAATATGCTAAACACTATAGTCCTATCCAAAATATGAAATTCTTTTATAAGCAAAATATAAGATAATGCGGTTATATTACCTATTGTATTTATTTAAGAGGGTTCAAATTTAGCATTCTGTTGTGAACTCCACTAGTACATGTAAAATTTTTTTAAGGCTTTACAGTTTTTCCTCCTCATAAATTGATTGGACCAGAAAATGATAAAAATCCTGTCCTAATATTAGCATGCTTCCAAATTTCATTTTACTTTGCTAATGCTACATGTTTATAGGAAATTAAAAGAAATCTCTTCCAAGGACTATTAAGCTTGGTGGGCCAGCTAGTGGTTTGGTGGTTAAGGCGGCTAGATCCCACATGGCTGAATGCACTGTTAGAGTCCAGATTCGGCACATGTGCATGTGTGTCGAGAGGAGAATGGAGAAGAGGTTGTGGTATTGTCATCCCCTCTGGTGGTGCTTTCTCTTTCTCTTCCCTCCCCCCCACTGTTTCCTGTGAGTTTAAGAACTGTATAGTTAATTTGAAAAAGAGAAAGAAAAAAAAATCTATTGGCCAAAGGGCATGTGCATTTGCTGGAGAAAGAGAGAGAAAGTGAGGAATCACCTCTTGGGAGGATGGCCATGCTTGCGATCCCTTCTCCTCTAGTTCCCTCTTGGGATTTTGGGCACGCACATACACAGGCATGATTTTCAGGTTGCCAGGTTTGGGACTCAAACTGTGGTTGGCCATGTGGGAATTTAGCACCTTACCACTGTGCCACCTGTTGGCCCCGTTGAATAGCCATTTTTAAATACTTTGTAATAGTTGAGATGATGGGTAACCAAAATTTTTTTTCAAAAACTTAGCCATAAGGTGTGTGTGCTCACTGGATAGTGCCAGGGAGAGACAGAGAGGAAAAGTGAGAAATCATGCCCCAGGGAGCATGGCCACACTGTAGTCCCTTCTCCTCTCTAGAGTTTGGGTATACCTGCACACACACCTGGCATGTTTTTCAAGCCACCGGGTCTAGGACTCAAACTGCAGAGTCAGCCATGACGTATCCAGCACTTTAACGACCATACTACCTCATGGCCCAATAACCAAAAATGTTTTTAAGAATAAAGTGTGTCCTGGAGCCTCCAAGTGGCATGACGATTAAGGGCGCTGGATTCCCACATCGCTGACTGTGGTTTGAGTCCTGGACCTGGCAGCTTGCCTTCTCACTTCCCCCTTCTCTATTTGTCTCATTCTGTCCCATTCTGGTCAAATTAAAATAAATAAATAAAGTTAAATAAAATAATTCTTAAAAAGAAAGCATGTCCTTGATATTATTTAAGAGACTGTCAGAAAGTGTTTAAGA